TTTTTTTTTTTTGGTACAAGAAATGAAGGCAAAGCCTAAGGAACATTAGAGCGGAACACAATGGGGATAAGCCATGCCGACAATATCATGCATTAGCCAATGGCCGAGCTCCATGAGTGGGCCTGAAGTCGATGATAGCCCACCGGGACATCAGCTGCAAGTGCAGCATCAGTCGAGAAATTCTCTTCCCTATGAATATGAGACAAACGAACTACACATTCCCGCTTGATTAATAATTTCACAAATAATATATTGAAGATATAGTTTTGCAAGCAAAAGAAATTTAAAAAGGAAAATCTTCATTTATTTATAATTATATATACGTATATGTCGAGTTATATTGTGTATCATTAAAAGATATTTTATGATTATTAGTCTAAATTTTATCACTATGTTGTAGATTCAACTAATATCAAAATACTTCATACATGAACGGTCAAAATGGTAGGCATGAAGAACTAAAGAAATTATGTTTAATGAATTGATACATGTTTTTCTTCACAACAGTCTCGATTTTGTAGTTCACTAGTACGTATAAATTAAGATTTAGTACCGACATTGGTGAACAAAATGAATTTATTGCATTTTTGTCAATGTTTATGAGATCAGTACCTACTCCATATTGTAATGGTATTCAGTTGATCATTAATAGGTACCTATTTTGTGGCGTTAAGTACATACTTTAATAAATTTCTAAGAATATAAAATTCTGGTCTTCAATCCTTTTCTCACTCGAAATAACTAGTGCTTTAGTTTGAATGAGACAATCAATGTGAGTAATTAAGTACCCGTGCCAAATAGTCAATGACTTACCACACTAATGACAAACAACACTAAAACACTTCATGTCACCATATGATTAAACTCCACCATTATGTTGTAACACCAACTAATATCCAACCACTTCGTATGTGAACGATCAAAGCGACATGGTAGACATGAAATTAAATAAATCATGTTTAGTAAACCAATACTTGTTTTCTTCACAATAGTACCGAGTGTGTAGGTTAACAGTACTTATAAATTAGAATTTAGTACTGACTTTGGTCAACGAACACGATTCTTGCATTTTAGTCAACGTTTATGAATCGATACCTACTCCATTTTGTAATTGCACTCAATCGAGTATTAATAAGTGCATATTTTGTGGTGTTGAGTATATACTTTAATAAAATTCGAAGAATGCTAAATCTGGTCTTCAATGTTATTTTATTTACTCGAAATAACTAGTACTTTAGTTTGAATAAAATAATCAATGCGAGTAATTAAGTACCGATATCAAATAATCACGAACTTACCACACTAACAAACAAACAACACTAAAAACTTCATGTCACTACATGATCAAACTTAATTATGGTTTAGGTTCAACTAACCACTTCTTACATTGATATAGCTATAGCTAGGCCAACCAGAATCACATTAAGTACGAGAGGTCGACCGAGTATACCAAAACGACATATCCTCGTAGGACGACCCCCCCTCTTTCGCTTTCACAATTTCAGTTAATAAAAAAAATCATGATATAATTCACATGTATCGTGAGATAGACTCTTACTCGACGCTACTAATATTTAGTGGAGGTTAGTCAAAAAAAATAAAAAAATTATATATATTATAATTTAACACTTTGCAACGCGCGATCACATCTCAAAATTAACATTGCAGACAATTTCTTAATTTTCTTTTTTTTTTTCCGTATTATACATCTTAAATTGAACAGTGCTCCATTTAGAGATGTTTTAGAAAGCCTAAGAGCATCATTATTTCTTTTTTTAATTTTTTTTTTATTTTTTGTACAATGAAGGAGACCAAAGGCTTAAAAACAAAAGCTAGATTAGGACACGGCGTGGGTAAGACACCCCCATAACGTCGTGGTCGAGCCAAGGCCCCAGGTCGACAGGAGGGGAAGAAACTCGCTGCAATCCGAGCGAGGAAGAGGACGCCAGACTCGCCATATGATCTGCTGCAAAATTCGCCTCCCTATGCACATGTTGGATCTTAGCATCCCAATCTCGATGGACCAAACGACGAATGGTTGAGACAACCGCTGCATGACAATCAAGGTTGTCCTCAGAGCCAAGGACTAGTTGGGTTACGCATTTGCTATTTACGAAAGCCCCAATCTCAAGCCATCTGTAAGCCTCGCAGGAGGCTCCACAGCTCGGTCCCCGTGAAAGTGCACGACCCAATATTCATGAAGAAACCTTCAAGTCATGCTCCCACCTCGCGGAGCAGCCCGCCGGTACTACTGAGGCCCAAGAGCATCATTATTGAAATAAGTATTATATTTGTACCTCATTATCGAAAGAAGTATTATATTTGTACCCAAAGAAATATATATATATATATATATATCCAGGGTATATTGGTAATAGAGCATTACATATGCCAAACCCTCCTCAAAAACCCTTTCGCTCGACTTCCATAGCGGTATCATTTTCTTCATCAGTTCAACCCAAATGGCTCATCGTCTGATTCGAGGATTACGAGGAGCAGTGAAAAATGTTGCCGTCTGTGAACAATCCAAACCCACAAACCATTTTCTCAAAGCTTCTGCTCGGAATTACGTGCCGGATTTGCGAAATTCAGCTTTCGAAAACAACATTCTACGGCTTATACGAAGCGAAATCCAATACGAGCTCGACCGTTCTCCTTCGTCTGAGGTAATCTTGGTTTGATGTCTAAGCAGTATCTCTTGTTTTTTGCTTCTTCTTGTTGGTATGCGATTATCCTGCGGACCTGATTGATTTGTTTAGCATAATAGCTCCCTGGGTATTTCGAATTTTCATAGAATATGAATTGGTAATCTTTGTAGTTTTGTCTGAACGAATTACAGATTGATATACATGAGGTTGTATTTTTCGTTTGGACTGAAAGACACAGTTCAGATGGATTGGGAGCTTACCATTTTTGAGTGGTTTAACTTCTCATTAGCATTAACTGATTGTAATGGAACTGAGTGTAAACTGATTGGAGATTCAAAATCCGTGATCATTTTGGTGAAACTTGGGGTAAATTGCAATTAATTTTCGGTGCTGCTTACATAATTTTATGGTTCATGTTTGCCGTTAAACTTAAGGAATCTGCTAGATTCGTGGAGCAGATAGAATTTTATTTTGCAATGTTATATAAGGGCTGATGTTCAACAAAATATACTCGGGCGAGGCTTTATGAAAAACACAACTTACAACTATAGCTCTTATTTTTCTCGTGTTGGCATCATGTGGTGATTTCTGATAAGGATATGAGGACTTGTTTGTCGTATTTAAGGTTTCCTCAGTCGTAAAAAAATATACAATTTATTCCTTCTCAGCTTGAAGATTTACCATTGTTCTCTATGTTTCTATTTTTTTCATTTTCTTTTCATATGCAACGATTTTGACTGCTATATAGTCTTCTGGAACATTTTTTGGAGCCATCCGGGACAGTAAAGTCAGCTTTGTGGTCTTTTGGGGAGTTTCTTTTAATTAATATGAAGGATAGCTGCCAAGTAGTAATTACTGTTTTTTTTTTGAAATATAAATAATTGAAACACTTAAAGCAATTGGGATTTGAATGATGAGTTATACGTGGTACTTACTTGTAAATTTGGAAAAGGGCAAATACGAGTTGTCTCAAGCAACCAATGTTCAAAGATATCTTTCTTCTTAATTGCGCCTCACCTAGGATTTGTTGAGCAGATATGCATGATATTCTAATATGTAAATTTGGATAAGAGCAAAGTTCGAGTTGTCTCAAGACATCTTTCTTCTTAATTGTTCAAAGAATTTCAAGCTAACCATTCCCATGTGAATTATATTAGAGTTATAGATGGGATTCTGTTTTTCAAAGTCCCTGTAAGTGTAGATTGCACGACATTGGTTGGTTTTCCTTAACAACATAATTTCTCTATCTCCTTCACATGTTAATGTAAGATAATCCTACTTAAAAGAAGGTTCCTTCCACAGCCACGCAAAGATTTTATCGTTTGCCTTTTCACACAGTTTCGTAGAACATTATGCACTTGTTACGTTAATAATTAGTCACCTATGATAATATATTCTTTCTTGAATCACCATAGTGTATGGACAGTTGAGCACCTTATTTTGTATGCATGCTACAGCCTATACCAAAATTCAATTCGTTCATGGTGGACGAGAGGCCGGGGGAGCAGTGGATTCGGTTGACCAGGAAATTTGGAGGAAAAGAAGAGATTAAAGTCGAGGTCACTATGTTCGATGACTCACTACCCACGAAAAAGGATGACGACTCAGAGGATGTCACGCTCCACATCACTTTGATCATTGACATCTTCAAGGGGGAGGACACTAAAGTCTTGGAGTTCGTTTGCTCCGCCTGGCCTGACAGCATCGAGATTCGCAACGTATTTACGCGCGGGCATGACCGGATGAATGATCAGCCTTACGTGGGCCCCGCATTCAAGTATGTTGCCTTTGTTCGTTCTTTTACACCCTGAAATTATTCTCTCTCTCTCTCTCTCTTCTAGATATAAAATTCCTCTTTGGATTTTATTTTTTTGAGAAAATATTTTTGTTTTTATTATGTGTTTACAGGGAATTGGACGATAAGCTGCAAGATGCCCTCTATGATTTCCTGGAGGCGAGGGGTATAGACGATAAGCTAGCCGAATTTCTGCATCGGCACATGAGGCACAAGGATAAGAACGAGTACCTACGTTGGATGGAGAACGTCAAGTCTTTTATTCAGAAGAAATAGGGAAACAAAACGAGGTTTTGTGATCTTTAAACTGACCCTTATTTTTTTTTGTCTTTCTTCATGGAATGCCACAATTCGTTATCCTGATGCTTCGTGAGACGCATTGTAAACCCAGGTGGAACTAAGCTAAGAAATGAAATAGCACCAAAGTTTCTTGCTTGGCAATTGTTTAGTATTTTATTTCCCTTTTTTAATGTTGGAGAACTCTCGTGTAGACATGGCCAAAACACGGACCGGACCCGGGCTGGGATTCATGGACCCTGAACCGGCACGGACCTAGGTCGTGTCAGGCTGGGCCCGGGCCAGGTCTGGGCCCGCCCAAATAAAAAAATTAAAAACAATGCGTTTTTCCTGTGCCGGACCGGACTGTCGGCTCAGGGTCGACAACAACAAGGCCCTGGACCGGCCCGGTTGAATTCCGAGCCGGGCACGGACCCGTAGTCAACGGGTTTGACCGGGCTGGGTGGCCCGTGGCCACGTCTACTCTTGTGGCTCATGTAAATGCTTAGCTTAGGCTTTCCATTTGATTGTATTTTCACCTAATTGTCTTTGTTGTGTGCTCATTATCTGAGAGTGGGATTTGGACTGGAAATGGCATTTTGCGTTTGTACTCAATTTTTTTGTATACAGCTTTCAATATGAAGCCCGGCCAAAGGTCTGGGCCTCTAAAGGGCCCATGCTTGCAGCCTGCAGGTTGGGGAAATCGGGCCTGATCCTATTTGGGGAATTTACACCTATGCTATATGATTTGTAAAATATTGAGTATTTACTGCCAATCAAATCTTATTTGCATATATACCTAAAAGATATGATTTAATTAGATCTTTACCATGTTATAAGTTTGCAAAACACAAACATCTTCTTCCCTTAATTAGCGGGGTGATAACTGTCGCATACATTAAAAAAAAAAAAA